CCAAACACATGACGATTCATATCATCTGGATTACGCATAGCTTCTCTGCGATTTTCGCTCCGTAATGTAAAGTGAAGCTCCCCCCTCCCCCAATACATTTTGCTGGATCCGTCACTGTGTGATTTAATACATCACGTTATCATAATAATAATAACTTTTATTAGAGAAGAAAATTGTCATTGTGCTTGGAAGTTAGCATGTAAAGTATAAGATGATTTAAGATAGGTAATAACATGTTTAATGAGTTTTATTTCTGATCGATCTGTATTATAGAGTTTATAGGATGTAATGAAATGTATTTTATCTTCAATTATGTTACACATCCTGCAAACTCTGTTGTCAACTGGTATTTTTGGTCTCTTGTAACGTCCTAGCTCTATTTCTAATCTGTGGTTGCTAAGTCTCAGTTTAGACATAAGCTTAATTTCCTCTCTCTTATTCAACAGGTATAAATAAGGTGATGTGCTAATGTCATCTTTTAATAAAGAATATGTTCTCATTTTTGAATCTGGTCTTTTGTAGCTACAGAACTGCAGCTAGGTCTTTTGATACGTTTATTTCTTTGCAATTGCTATACAGTTTACAACAGACAAGTGTGATTATATAAAATCGTACCTGGCTGAATGCGCTGGTTCAAAATCGGCAATGGAGAAACCTGCACAATATGAAGAGAAAAAACGATTATTTAATGCTCATGTGAATGGATTAACATGGATCATTAATAATAATTATTAGAAACAAAACTATCCACTTTGTTTGTTTGTTTCTTTCTTCTTTGTTGTTCAACTTTTGAGGTGTCTTTGGATGTCCAGAAACTGTTGTGATGTACAGTATGTTCTAAATAAAGCATTCAAACTATCATTTAGTGAATTATGGTTGTATATTGTTTGTATAAGTTTTTAAAGAGTTTTTTTGCAAGAGCAACAAAACCTACTTTATCTACCTGAGGCTGGGCACAACGAGTTTGGGAATGACAGAAGAAACCCTAAGATATCGTAAATTCAAATGACAGCATAATTTTGTAAAGCAAGCTAGGTGGACTCCCGGAAGTAGTCTTGAAAGCGCCTAGTGCTGTGTTGTTGCTGTGCATTTCTGAAAAATGAGCCATTTTCGGTGTTCATTGCCGTGATTTGGAGAAATATGTGAGTTTCTACGTCTACATTGAAACCAGGTAAGTCAGTTTTAATGTCTTATGAAAACATCGAATACGTCCCTCCATATTATTGGTAACTAAGTCATCGGTGAGTAAACAGTCACTTGTAACTGAAAGAAAACCAATCTGCCGGCCCCTGTACTACAAGGTGGTACCAGTTTCAGAAATTCGTATTTTGTTTTTGTAGTGCGATTATTAGTATTATTATGTTGTATTATTAACTATCACCTTGTGGGCTTTTGCTATTACCAAAACTATTAAAACACATACAAGTAATGACATCCACTGTTTCCTTTAATTTGTTTGAATCTTGAAAATACTGTGAAAATTTTCCAATTTTTCCCTTGAAATGTTTTTTCTGCATACAAAATGCATGGAAAGTTTCTCAAAAGACAAAATTTCACTGAGAAACTACAACTGAATCTGAGAAAATTGAGTGAAAATAAGGGATTGGTCGGCCTGGGGGTGGGCGGGGTCGGCAGATTCCATTTTGCCAGCTGTTAATCTCAGTTGACCCACCCCCTATAAAAAAAAAAATGGGTGACCCCCAAAAACATTATATTTTAAAACTTAAAACATGCTGACCCCCCTAAAAAACAAACAAAGAAACATTAACAGTTTTGGCTCTGACATGATTACAAAATGTATTATACAATACAATACAATAATACTTTATTATCACCGTAAAGAAATTACAATCTTTTTTGGGCTCTGAATAATAAGTTAAATTAATAAACATGAACACAGATTAATTATAGTATCAAAAAACAAAGAAATATGTGCATTGAAAATATCATGGTTTGCCATAATTTTGACATAATTTTTAGTGTTTGCATTTAATAGACCTTAGAAGGGGAGGGGAAGCATAAAGCAAAAAAAATGACTACAGAAAAGGCTGCAGGAAGGAAGGAAATCTATGCTGCTGAAGATAGTAAATAAAAGCAAAGCTGTCAGTGTGGAGTACTCACTCGATATACGCCCTTATAAGATAGGAAAAGAGGATTTGAATCTAGGCGGTTTGAACTCTTAGAAAACTAAGTTGGATTTAAAATATCTTTCATATCTTATAGACCAGGAAAGCTTTACACCCAAAGCACAGTCTGTGCTTATGAAAACAAAGGAAACTTTAATTTTTGCTTAAATTTGTGTTGGATTTTGGTATTTTACAGAGCAATTTATGCATATTTAAAAGTTAAAAAAACAAAAAACTATTTATTTATTTTTTCATTATTTATTTTATTTTATATATCAGCATTTTCACAAATTTAACTTTTTTGACTTGCTGAACAAAAACTGTCACTGCTCTTTGTACTAATTGCTGTGTTGTCTTTCCGTCTCATGTTATAATTGGATAAATCCAGTAAATATCTTATACAATGGTGACTTCAGACTTTAAATAAAATAATCTGATATCAGCAGCACATGGACTTGGGATGTGTTTAAAACTTAACTGTATAATTGGGGTTCTAGCCGCATTGCATAATCTGTTAGTTATTTGGCAACTTTAACCTCAAAATATTTAGCCTATAACATTTTTTGCATCAACATAGTTTTTATTAGGAACACATTTGTACGATTAACTTTTTTATCGTTTGTTCTGAAATAAAATTTTTAAAAATATATGCATGAGCGCGTGTGAATTCTGGAAAACATGATATCAAAAATAGGGTGACCCCCCTATTCGCACAATCAAAAACAGGGTAAACCCCCCCCTACTGATCCACCGACCCCCCCCCCCCAGGTCGAAGTAACTGACCAATCCCTAAGCCTTAGAGGGAACACTGATGACATCTTTAAAACTTTAAAATGTTGTTAACTGTACAACAAGTCTCAGAAGTGTTATGGCAGCCAATCTGCAAACTCACTAGCGAATTACATCTTCTTGACTTTGGTTGGCTTTTATGAATATCACTGATGCTGTCTTGTGGCCACACCCACACTGGTCAATTCTATATTACAATAGGGGCTAATCAAGGGCCTTACATTTGGATGGCGATTTCGGTTTCAAATATACCATGGAAATGTTCTATTCGTTTGCAAGGTATTCTCAACGCAAAAATGATGAATATATGAGTAGTAAATTTTATTAGTGGAATCGTTTGGCTGTGAAAGTTTGTTATTTTCTCCCTGACTTGTAGGAAACTGAGAACCCCTTTTTCTCAACATGTCTCTTTATTTAGTTTCAAGCTATGTTCAAGATGGCAACCCCTATAGTAAATATCACATTTATCATATTATCACATGTACGCAAGCAGACTGTGGTTCTGACCAGGGAAAGGCATGGGAAAATTATGACAGAACACCCTATTATTTGTTATGAATGCATAGGGTTCTCAGATTTTTCTTTTAGTCCCTGTCGGACGTATATATAGTTCAAAACGAGGACTTATATTTTGTGTTCCGTCCATCCATGTGTTCATTTATCGGAGACATCTGGACAGATTTTCTTCAAAGCTGGTACAAAGACAAGTCAAAATGGGAGACATGCACATGCACATGTCAACATTTGGACATGTCATCAACTGTTTCAGTTATTTTTCATTTTCATTGTAATTTAGCCAAATGGTGGCTATTTTCATCTAAAACGAATAGAATCACAAAATTCAAACATGTCATCAACTGTTTCTCTGACATGCCTTGCCCGATTTCATTCAAATTTGGCATTGACATCAGTCATGGTGGGTTACTGATGCACGTAATTTTTTTTTTCGTGATTCAATTCAAAATGGCGAACTAGTGGCCATTTTGTTTTTTCCGAGTGTTCTGCTCATTTGACTGTTGTAATGTGACCTGAAGTGCAAATGAAAGCAAATCAGTTTTGCAAGTTGATAAAAATTGCTGACTTTTGAATGCCACATGCATCCTTCTGTCCGTCATTTCTAGTGCATGTCTGGACCTCTTTTTTTTTTCAAAGTTGGTATATCACAAGTCACCATACATGCTTTGTTATATTTTGTTGACCTTCAACTGACAGCCATTAATTGTCCCAAAAATCTACATTTGGACATGTCTTTAACAGTGTACTGAGCTACGTAAACGCATTCAACGTCCCTTACTGAAGTATAGACTCAGAGTGGATGCGGCCACAAGTCTGCCCCAGCAAGATTTGAAAACCAACTGTTTAGTCAAAACCCAATCAGTTAGACAGTTCACTAGGGAATTTGCAAATTGGCTGCCACTCATTAAAACTATATATTTGCTATAGACTTGCTGTAACATTTTTGAAATGCATGTTTAGCACTTTTGAAACTTTTTCACGTTTGAAATGCCCTCTTGTTCACACCAATGAAACCTCTCATTTAAATATTTGATGAACTGTTCATTGTCAGTTGAGTGAGTCGATGTAATTACTTGATGGCTGGACATGGTTGTAATGATCTCATAACTGTAGATCCCGACTCTACAAACCCTGATAAAGCCTGGAAACGCATGATGTGTAAATACAAGAAAGTGAAACCATTGGCAACATCCGAATTGAGAAAAGAAGGTATGTAAAATTTGAGTCTGTTTTATATCATTATCATTTCTGTTCACTTGTGAATTTATGTAGCTAACTTGTGTATTATGATCTCTATTGGTATGTTTTTTTATTGCAAAATGACTGACAATGTCAGCTTTTAAGCACACAAAAAATCACAAAGTCATTACTATCTAGATGTAGTAGGTGAGCATTGCAAACCTACCTGTGATTACTCAAATAATATTCTGTAAATTACAACTGGGTGTTGTGACTGCAGAAAATTGAGTACCGGGGTATCTATTAATATATTGTCTTACATGTAAATCATTGATTATAGCCGTTTTCACAATGTGCTTTATTCAGACTAAATAAAAATGTCAAAATGGAGTGACTTCCCAGGTCAACTGTTCAAATCGCTATTAATCATTATTATGTTACACATTTTATTCATCCATGCAAGAAAATTTGGAAGGCAGAAATAAGCTGCAACATTATGAACTTCTCCACCACTGCATGAAATTTTAATCTGATACATACATGTATTGTTAACTATTATTAGAAAAGGAGTTTCATGCAATGATTCCTATGAATTCACACTTCTCTCAATGTAATATTATTTTTATGGACTCTAATGAAACAAATATATTTTTTACTATGAAAAACTACATATTCCGCCCGTCTAGTATAACAGAATGGCAGTGTATTAAGAATTAAGTCTCATAGGTTTTACAAAAAAGGTGTTTTGAAAAGTTATAAGCCATCTTGCCAACTGGCTGTCTGGGTAATTCTCAGAACATCTCCACAACAGCAAACATAATCTTATGAAAGACGTGCAATGCGACTTAAAATACCAGGATTTCATATAATTGTATAACTTGTGATGTTATCAGTATGCTACATATCAATTGTAGCATTTCATGGATAGTTTAGTAGATTCACATTCAATTTGTCCCAATACACTTTCGTCACATTCAGAATTTGCTGAAAGTAAATAGCAGGGCTCCCAATCTAGCTTGTTTACTTGAGCTAGGGAGAAATCCTCTTGCCATAGACAGTACGAGGCAAATGATGAAATATTGGATGAGGATAAGGGATATGCCAGAAAATACACTAATGAGCGAAGCTTGGCTTAAAAAAACACAACTTGGGTACATGAAATTGGGTAACTAGTGTGATTCAAATATTAGATGAATTAAAACCTATTATCTGGAAAAACAATGAGCTAAAACACAGTGAAGCTTTAATACCGGTAAAAGCTGTTTGTTAAAAACTTGAAGCACAGTCGAGAAAAAAGGAATGCACAATGACGACAACGGCTCAAACCATAAAAATAAACTGAGAACGTACACAAAATGGAAAACATATTTTTCACTAGTAAAATACTTGCAAGTAATAAAAAACAGTTTTGTATATCACTCTGCAATAAACAAACTGAGAATAAGTACTCATCGCTTACAGATTGAAATGGGAAGGTACAATAACGTACCAATCTCTGATAGAAAACGTTCAGTTTGTGAAATTAAACAAATTAAAAATGTGCAACACTTTTTGCTGTTATGTCAGTTATACGCTAAAGAAAGAGAAATTTTGTTCAAAAAACACAACATTATTCATGATAACAAAAACAATGAACAGTTATTAATTATAATATTTTAAACAGTAAAGATGAAAACATTATAAATGATGTGGTGAAACACATCTATAACTGTTTTAATGTCAGTAAGTAAATCTTTATTGCTATCGTATCCAAATTTGAGATCTTGACATAAAATACAATAAAGTCAAATACATGTAATAATAAAAAAAAGAAAATACTAAATAAAAGGAAATACTAAAAATACTGTAAATGAATGAAATAAAAATACATATTCCAAAATAAGAGATAAATGAATAATTGTAATATAACGTAAGTATTAAATGTAAATTTGTGTTTTTTTTTTACATGTATGAGAAAATTCAATTAAAAGTGAAATGCTTAAACCAGCTTCAAAAAAACAATTTTTTTTAGAAACTAATGTTTAGAAATTTGAGCATTTTGATATTTTTCCCTGTATGTTAGTGTTAGTTATTTTTTATATGTTTCACGATTGTATTACTTTATTGTACTTTTCATCAAAACCTCAAATATGGGATGTGATAGCAATAAAGATTCTATTCTCTTCAATTCACATTGTCTTTGGTTAGCTTTACAATCTTGTGCATGGTGAACAAGACATATATTTACTGTGTCTATAGATATTCAGAAATAAACAACTTTTACCATGATTATCATTTTTTAGAACATTAATTAATTACACTATTATCTTGAAATATGAATAACTTGATTTGACAATTGATGGATTAACGTATTGTGATATGTGATACAATAAAGGACTGGGGTGCTCTTGTATGCATGATGACCATGATTATATGCAATTTGTTGTTAGGATTATGTTGTGCATATTGGATGAGTTAGTATCAGGCTAATAAATAGGACGAATCAACCATGGAGCTCCATGAATCAACCAAGATACACATTTAGTGTGTCTATGATACTATGCATTAACACCTCATGCAGAAAATACATCAAAATACATTGTATTGTTTCAAGTCTATGAAAAACGTAAAACTCGGTCACCAGGTTATTGTTGATTGCTTTTTTTAATTGCAGGCTATACCAGGTTTGTCTGTGTGTCTGATACTCATTCTAAAACCGATCATCGCATGATGCCTCCCATTCCTGATGGTGACATTTTATTACATGCTGGTGATTTTACTATGCACAGTGGTGTCAGTGAAATTGATTTATTCAGTAAATGGTTAGGTATGTGTTTATAGATAGATAGATTGACACAAAATTTAATATAAAAACTTATACATGTTATCATAATTTTCTAATTCAGCTTCAAATTTAATATGAGCTTGTATAATCTGACTATTTTTACATGCGAGTAAAACATGAAATTCATCCACAATAGACTGTTCATTACATTGAGAACAAGTCATTGTCAATGACACG